GTATCTTGCTTATTTATACTGCCTTCACTTTTAGCCGTTGTGGTCTCATTGATTTTGATTGCCATGATCCGTGCCTCCTTCCATCTTTACCTTCTTGACAGCCTCATTTCTTCTTTCGATTTCTTGCCCGCTCCTTTCCATTTTTGTCTTAGACCCCTTTCCTTGTTTGCTGCAGAGCCGTTTGACTGGCTTCTTTCAACACTCTCCATGCAGGAAAGCTGTCTTCACGTCTAGCTGCTCGAGCTCCAAGTCATAATGTGCCAGTATTGCTAGTAGCACTCTGATCGAAGTATGTCTAACCACTGGTGAGAAAATCTCATTGTAGTCAACTCCTTCCCTATGCGAGAAGCCTCGTGCAACCACCCGAGCTTTAAATTTCATGCCCTCTTTAGAAGTGATTCCTTCCTTCTTCTTGTACATCCACTTGTTTGTAACAATCTTCCTTCACTGTGGCTCTCCTGCATCCACTTCTTCAGCAACCTGAAATGAATACGCCACCATGTCCTCGAAGCCATACCTCTGTGGAGGTACTCCTGCAGTCGCTCTCTTCGATCTACCGGAAGCAATAGACTGTTTAGCTCGTGCACTGGATTCTGAAGTTTCTGGCTCTGCAGAGACATCCTCATCATGTTGATCTTCTCCACCTTGGTGCTCAAACTCACTCTCATTGAGAGTTTGCAGCTCCACCTGCTTATCAACATTCCTGCTACCTTCAGAACAGTAACCTTCAACATGGGGTTAAACATAGACTTCTCATCAAATATCACATTTCTACTAAGTATAACTCGATGCTCAGAAGGTGACCAGACTCGAAATCCCTTAACTCCATCTCTTTAACCCACAAATACACCCTTCTTTGCCCTTGGGTTCAGTTTACCCTCATCCATGTGATAATAAACAGGACACCCAAAAACTTTCAGTGAAGAGTAATCAGCAGGCTTACCATACCACACTTCATAAGGAGTCTTACACTCGATACCTGTGTGTGGTCCACGGTTGATCAGGAAACACGCCATGTTTACTGCTTCTGCCCAGAATCTTCTCTCTAGTCCAGCATTAGAGAGCATGCACCATGCTCTCTCCAACAATTTCTGGTTCATCCTTTCTACAACGCCATTCTGCTGGGGTGTATATCTAACAGTCCGATGACGGGCAATCCCTTCATCCTTGCAGAATTCGTTGAACTCAGAATTACAGAACTCCAGACCATTATCCGTTCGCAGTTCTTGATCTTCTTACCGGTCTGATTCTCCACCAATGTCTTCCACTGCTTGAACTTCGTGAAAGCCTCACTTTTCTGCTTCATCATGAAAATCCAAGTAAATCTCGAATAATCATCAATAATAGACAGAAAATACCTGCTGCCTCCAATGGATTCAACTCGTGAAGGATCCCAACAGTCAGAGTGGAGGTAATCCAGTATCCCCTTCGTGCGGTGGTTACCCTTCTTGGGAAACTTGCTGCGATGTAGCTTCCCAAACACACAATGGTCACAGAATTCCAAATTATGCACCTTGTGCCCGCAAAGAAGATCCCTCTTCGATAGAACTTGCATCCCCCATTCACTCATATGCCCCAGTCTCATGTGCCAGAGAGTGGTCATATCTTCCTGTTGAACTTGAGACGATGCAACTGCAGCAGAACCAGACAACACAGACCCTTGTAATGCATACAAGGTCCCACGCTTCACGCCCTTCGGTACCTTCCTCGAATCCTTGCAGACATACACAACTCCACCTTTTCCTTTGAAGCTGAAGCCCTTGCTGTCGAGTAGACTCAAGGAGATCAGGTTCTTTGTCATTCGTGAAATATGCCTGACATCATCCTCGTCATCAACTTGAACATCTATATTACGCAGATCCAGCAAAATAGAGTTAAGCTGTTCGAGATGTTCCCTCAAAGGCGTACCTTCTTGCATCCTCAAGCTGAACAACCGTTGCTTGAGATGCAGCTTGTTGGTTAAGGACTTCGTCATATACAGACTCGCCAGTTTCAACCACAAGCCCGCGACAGTCTTCTCAGCAGCGACTTCAATGATGACGTCATCAGACAACGATAGCATGATTGTCGAGTGGGCCTTCTCCTCCAAGGTATTCCACTCATCGTCATCGACCGCTGCCTTCTTCTGTTTCGCAGACAGCGGCCCCCACAGCCCTTGCTGTTTCAATAAAGTCTGCATCTTGATCTGCCATATAGCGAAGCTGTTCTTCCCCGTGAACTTTTCGATCTTCATGTTCACCGACGTCATTCTTCTGAATCGAAAACCCTACCCTGATTTCCAGCCGCGGCTCTAATACCACTTGTTATAAACGCGCTGCTACGGATCGGGAAATCGCCGGAATCGACAAAGCAAGAATACGAAAGCGAGAATCGAAAAACACAGACACACGATTTACGTGGTTCACTAACACGATGTGTGTTAGCTAGTCCACGGGCGAGAGAGAGCCAGTTTCACTATATCGAGGAGATTACAGATTACAGAGGAGTATGAGAAGTATTTATAGTACTTCTCCATGTGGGTCTAAACCTAATCCAATCTGGCAAAGAAAAACGGTTACAGACCAGGCCCAGAACCTGAACCCAAATAACATTGAGCCCATACACCATGGGCCGGGAGCGTTGCCCCCGCACCCCCACCGATTACCAGTCGTAGCGGCTGATAGTCCGATTCAAGTCATATCAACAGTTAGTGTATAGAGTAGTTATAGGACCAAACTGTAATATTTGTTTACTTTATGTACTGTTTTGTAATTAAGTCCAGCCCTCTCCACCGCTTTTTAAATGCGGCTTAATGCTCTAACCTGTTCTAGATCCGCCGCTGCCCATGTCGCTAACTTTGAACATGTCTTGGAGGAGGACGTAGAGGTGGGACACTTCCGTCGCCAGAGTGAGACCGTCGCTCATCGTGAACTGCGCTCCCCTCAATGTCTTGTCCATCTTGGTAGCTTGAATATAATTCGTGGATGCCGCCCGCTTGACTCGCTAACATGTACGTCAAACGAATTGGAATCTGCTTCCTTTCTTTTATGGTTCACGCTACGATTCTAAATCTCGAGGAACAATAAGTTTTATATGAACTTGTATATTGACTATTGAGGGATCACAAATTAATTAATTATGATGATCGACAAAAGTTTTATATATTGTGAAATTTGAATAATTTGTGAAAAGACGCATGATATCATGGGAATACTTGAATCGGGCACAAGATAGGGTTTATGCACCCATCAATAACTAAATCTAGACTCTTCATTTAGAAAATCCAGATCTAAGGATGGAGAATTAAATGTGATTTTTATTTTCCCTAGTTTTATTAATCGGCTCATATCTTCTTTTTTTTTTTTGTGCACAGATGGAACGAGTTCGTTGTCCTCTACAAAACGAGATCCATTTTCAATATTTTTTGAGAAATATTTTTTTCTTACCTCTTGGTACCAACTGCATACCAAAACGGTGAGAATTTTTTTATTTGCACGTTTCGATAACACATATTTTTTAAAAAAATGAACAAAGCAATCATTTCCGTCCATCTCTATCCAAAAAACTGATATGGTGTCAAACAAACTTCTTAGTCATCAAATAATTAATAAAACATTTATATAATGATTTATTTCAGTTTTTCAAACTTATTATTTAGATTAAATTATTAAAACAGAGGAAGAACCCATGTACACCCTTCTTCCTTCTCCTCTGGAGACACCGCCGGCGCTGACCACTTCCGCGTCATAACCCCCAATCACGTCCCACCTCACAGCAGTTCCCACCCCCTCGCCGTTAGTCACGCTTTCACCTTGACGTAATGCACGCCCCACCTTCCCTCACTTCCTGACTCTCCGACCGACGCCATCAAATCCGCCCCTTCCCCCCTCCGATCAACCCTCTTCGCCATCCCATACGACTCTGTTGACTAAATCATCCGCCAGGATTCGATAAGGCGAAGCCCGATCACGGGATCTATGTCTATTGATTTCATTGGGTCATCAATCCAAGGGCTACGCTTATTCGTATTTTCCCAGCGATTCATACCATGGCTTCACTAATTGCTCTGGTACCATTTGGACGGGGATGCAAAGATACTCCTGGATTGATCTCTCCGCCGAGCCGGTGGATTATAGGGCAGCTCTGTCCGCCGATGGAGTTTTGCCCCAAGGGGAATTTCACCCTCTGCACCACTTTGGGGATGTATTGTCGGGGTCTCGGGGAAGAGGGCAGAGTAGTGGTGATACAGAGGAAGCCAAAGAGGCGTGGAGAGGAGAGAGGAAAGCTATTTTTCTTTTCTAATATCTTAATTATAGATTAAATCCAAAATTAAAATAAATTATTAAATAATATTTTACTAATTATTTGCTGACTAAGAAACTTATTTGGACGCCACATCAGCAGTATGTTAAGTTTTTGGATGGAAAAAATAGAAATAACCGTTTCGTACATTTTCAAAGTTGTGTTACTAAAATGTGCAAAATAAAAGTTTTCTAACCGTTTTGTACAAAGTGCAAAGTTGTGTGACAGTTTCTGTTAATTACCCGTATTTTTGTTACTATCTTTAGCGCTTTGTATATGATCAGGAGCCATAAATTGCATACTATTTTTTTTCTTTCTTTTTTCGCATTAGAGGACGCCAAAGCCAAGAAAATGGAGGTTACAAGGAGATCAGATCAAAGGGGGCTGAATTACAGCTTGGGTTCAAAAGTAACGCCCATAAAGTCATCTCTAGGAATCATAGCTAGATCAGATCAGATGACGGGTTTGCAAGTTCGTGCATAGCGTAGGGATAGACGAGAGATTGTGCTTCGAGAGACAGTGCGAGAATCTATTCCCTTCTTGGTATGTATGAATAATACTCATTAGCCACTCATGACTAAGCTTTCTGCGAATGGTCAAAAGAAGGGTAGCATAAGGATGTAACGGGTCATGCCTGTTGTTGATGAGCTGAATTGTCAATTGGGAGTCAAACTCTACCTTGAGTACTCGGCAACCGGAGCTCCATAACACTGTTTTTAGGTTTGGAATTTTCAGCTTGTTGTTCTCATTGCCTTTCTTCAGCTTAAATAGCTGAGTAGTTGATGGTTTACAGAACAAGTAAAGAAGACAAACTTGAGAAAGAAGAAAGTACAATCCGATTTGGGAAATTGGACAAAATAAGAAGTTGGGCATCAGTTTGGTAATTTGCCAGAGACAACTTGGCTCCAGCTCCTATACGCCGTCGTCTTGGTTGCAGGCGGGGCTTCCTTTGGATACGGCGCCGTCTTCACTCCATCACTTACTTCTTCTGGACACGGCGTCGTCTTCACTCCAATGGTCGACTGGTTTGAAAGTTGCTGCTCTGCTTCTGCATGCGAGATTGGCGAAGAAAAACAAGTGTTTTCTCTGATACCCCTCGCAAGCTGGTGGGCAAATGTTGAGCACACCGAGCTTGGACAGGAGATGAAGGAATGTAGCTGGCGGGAGTGGTTTGGTGAAGAGGTCTGCAAGTTGGTGAACTGTGGAAACATGGAGTAGTTTGATTGTGTTAGAAAGAACCTTGTCGCGGACGAAGTGGCAGTCAAGCTCGATTTGCTTCGTCCGCTCATGGAATGTTGGATTCTCTCCGATGTGGATGGCTGATTTGTTGTCGCAGTAGAGGATGGCTGGTTGGAAGTGGTTAATTTTGAAGTCTTGGAGTAGGTAGAGCAGCCATTGAATTTCAGAACTGTTGTGGGCAAGCGCCCTGTATTCAGCTTCACAGGATGATCTTGATATGGTGGTTTGTTTCTTGCTTTTCCAGGAAATCAACGAGTCGCCAAGGTAAACACAATAGCCAGTGGTGGATCGTCTTGTATCGACCCAGGCAGCCCAGTCAGAGTCGCTGAATGCTTTGAGTTGGAGATTGGATTTGGCAGAGAAGAAAAGACCACTTGTTGGAGTTGACTTCGGGTATTTTAGGATTCGGAGAACTGCTTTGTAGTGATCATTGCTCGGGTTAGCCATGAATTGGCTGACTTGTTGGGTTGCATAGCTGATTTCTGGCATTGTGGTAGTTAGGTAGATTAGTTTGCCCACCAATCTTCTGTATAGGGTTGGATCATGGAAAGGATCTGAGTGATTGGAGGATTAATGTCCCTTGTAATCCATTGGGGTAGTGACTGGTTTGCAATGTAAAAGATCAGCTTCCTCAAGGATCTCTAATGTGTATTTTCTTTGGTTGATGTGAATACCTCTGGCTGATCTTGCCACTTCAATACCCAGAAAAAATTTGAGATTTCCCAAGTCCTTGATGCTGAATTCATGATGTAGAAATTGTTTGATGTGATTGATCTCCTGCAGACATGTTCCTCCAATAATCAGATCATCAACATAGACTAGTATAGATGTATAGGTGGAACCTGTTGCTTTGTAGAACAAAGAATGATCAACTTTGCTGGGTTGGTAGCCTTGAGAGATAAGTGTGTCTGCAAGTTTGGAGAACCACTGTCTTGAGGCCTGTTTGAGTCCATAAAGTGATTTCTTGAGGAGACAGACATGTGTTTTCATTCCAGTAGGTGCTTTGTATCCAAGTGGGAGTTTATGTAAACTTCTTGGTCTAGGTCTCCATGTAGGAAAGCATTGTTCACATCTAAATGATGAACCTGCCAATTCCTTGCTGCAGCAAGAGCAAGGAATAACCTGATTGTTGTCATTTTGACTACTGGGGCAAATGTGTCCTGGTAGTCTACTCCATCTTGTTGACTGTAGCCTTTGGCTACAAGTCTGGCCTTGAATCTGTCAATTGAGCCAACAGGGTTGAATTTGATTCGAAAAACCCATTTGCAACCTATGGCTTGTTTGTCAGCTGGCAATTCAACCACTTCCCAGGTTCCATTAGAATCAAGTGCTGCTAGTTCTGTGTTGACAGCAGAGTCCCATTCAGGTGATAAGATTGCCTCTTTGTAAGTATCTAGTTCTTTGTGAGAGGAGATACTTAGAACAAAGTGTTGGTGGGAAGGAGATAGATTAGAATATTCTAGAACTGTATTGAGTGAATATTTGGTACCTGAGATATGCTGCTTGGGAGGATGACTGGTTGAGGGATTCTGCCGGAGAAGGTTGCAGTGGTATTGTTGGAGATAGGTAGGTCGTTTGATGTGTCTGGTTGATTTCCTTGTTGGTTGGATTGGTGGTTGTTGTTGTGGTGGTGATGGGATGGTTGGGGTGGGTTGAGGAGTGTGATCTATACTGTCATCACTGTCATAGTGGGGTGGACTAGGGATGGAAACTGGATTGGAGGTAGAAGGTGATGTGGAAGGGAGTGGATCATCAGTGAGGATGGGATTGGGTGGAGGGCTGTAAGGGTTGTTGGGATCTGGTGTTGAGTTTTTGAATGGGAAATGATGTTCATAGAAGTGAACATCTCTGGAAGTGAATACTTCATTTGTTGCTAGGTCATAGATTTTGTAGCCCTTAATGCATGCAGTGAAGCCAAGGAAAACACCTTTCCTTGCTCTAGAATCAAATTTTGTTCTGTGATTCTTTAAGGAACTGACAAAACAAAGGCATCCAAAAACTTTTAGTTCTGATAGGTTAGGTGGTTTGTGAAAGAGGGTTTCAAAGGGTGTTTTGTTGGCAAGAACAAGGGAGGGGACTTTTGTTGTTCCATGGGTGGCAGCTAGGGTTAGAACCCTTGAGGCTCTGATACCATAACACTGTTTTTAGGTTTGGAATTTTCAGCTTGTTGTTCTCATTGCCTTTCTTCAGCTTATATAGCTGAGTAGTTGATGGTTTACAGAACAAGTAAAGAAGACAAACTTGGGAAATAAGAAAGTACAATCCGATTTGGGAAATTGGACAAAATAAGAAGTTGGGCATCAGTTTGGTAATTTTCCAGAGACAATTTGGCTCCAGCTTCTATACGCCGTCGTCTTGGTTGAAGACGGGGCTTCCTTTGGATACGGCGCCGTCTTCACTCCATCGCTTACATCTTCTGGACACGGCGTCGTCTTCACTCCAACGGTCGACTGGTTTGAAGGTTGCTGCTTTGCTTCTGCATTCGAGATTGGCGAAGAAAAACTAGTGTTTTTCTCTGATACTCCACGCAATATCCAAGTCGTGGAAGAAAGCCCATAGCTCCGAGAGGGTCGTCGTTGTGGTGCCAATGTTCACCACAAATCCGTTAATCCATCGTCCAGTTGAGTCCCAGAGGGCTCCCCTGCACCAGCAGACCTTAGGTTGCCGTTAGAGGCTCTATCGATGGTGAGAGAAGTACACCCTGCTTGCGGTGGAAACCATCAAATATGGGAAGCAGTACGTGTAGCTGGCGCACTCCTCCCATCTGGAAGCTGACAAGCAGTCGTCCAAGCATCATGCAAGAGAGTGGCTGCCACCCCTTTGAAGGAACCCGTACACGGTACATCTAGTTTTCCAAAGTAACCACGCTGGCGTGCTAAAGAAGGCTGCCCAGCTCATTCCTGTACTAAGCTCTTCATTGCAAAACAAGTTGTCTCGAAACCAAACATCCTGATCTGACGAGAAGAAGGCTCCTTGTCTTGCTGCTGGGACATGTCGATTCCAAAAGAAAAGCGCCGCGGGGCAATCTTGAAGAGCATATGCAAGATCGTCTCCCGCTGCCCACTGCATTTATAACAACATGGGATGGCGGCTATTCTCCTGGAGTCTTGAGTCGCATTATTGGCCAACTTCCGCAGACTAGTAAGCCATATGAAGCTTCATATCCACTGCTGAACTGGAAGAGACCAGATCATTTTCCACGGTCGTTCCTCAGTAGCTGCAGTATGTTGATGGAGAGACTCGTAGGCAGATTTAACCAAAATTTTCCCATCCGAAGTGGCCGTCCAGAAGATGGTGTCCTCTTCCCCCGAGAGTTGATCCACAACAATACTTTGGATCTTGCGAAAGACTTCATAAGGGAGGAAATTCCTGAACAAATTCGTACGCCACCGTCCATCACTAAAGAAAAGAGCGCCATTAGTGACCAGTGGATTCTGTCGGTAAAGCCTCAATTTTGTCACAAAAGCGCTTTTGCGACGCCATCCCGCCGTCACGTGCTGTTTCAAATACTAGCGTAAAGAAAAACTATTTGTTATCACTCAGAACTGTCTCTACAATTAGTATGGTCACCACTAATTCCTTTTTCGTATTGACTAAGTTGGCAATATTTTCTTTTGTGACGACAACAAACCGTCGAGATAATTAATAACCTCGTCAGTAATACATTTTTATATTTAAGCACCTGACACTAATCCGTTCTTGTGACAAAAATTCATGTCATAAATGTTGACTTTCTCATTTTGTGATGCTGATAATAAATGTTGATTTTCTCAATTTACCAATACATTACCCACAATCAATCCTCCACTCAACTAATGGAAGCAATTAAATCGACAAATAATATGTTACCATATCGCACAATCCATCAAAATTAGCATTCTTTTGGATTAAAAGATGTATAAAACACCATACATACAATATATATGCACTAAATGAAAATTGAATTTGGAAAAAATAAATAAAAAATTCAGGAGAAGAAACACTATTGTTGTTATTTAATAACAAAAAAAGAAATACTATTGTTGCTACATCCCCGATGATCATTCGTTTAGATTTTAGTCACTATCGATTCATGGTGCCTCTCCTAACCTCCACTAGTTGTTGTGACCTTGAATTGTTTTCCTTATTACAGGCTAGTCAAAACACCAAAAGAAAAAAGAAAAATGAATGTGAGAAGCTGAAAGATACGTAAATCCACCTACATATGAGAAGAGAGAAGTTCTTGTTAAACTAAACCTATTGTGCAAGATACTGAATTAGAGATGAAAACAACCTTTAGAGAAGCAGATCTGAATCGCTACTGTCACTTGTCAGCACAACTGGAGGGGAATTTGTTCTTGGGATTGCACCTACGAAAGCCATTTGCCAACAAAGCTGTCACAACCCTTATCGAAGAGGAAAAGAAGGAAGGGATAGGTAATGTCGGTATGAAGCTGCGAGAAGAGGTAAAGAGAAGATTGAAGGGGGCAACCTGCTCCACCTTTCAATCGTTGCCGAATGAGAATGAAAAGATAAAAGAGAGTGATGGAAGAGGACCACCATGGAGAGTGAGGATAGAAATCAAAAATTACATCACGGTCATTGTGACTGCAAAACAGGGGAAGAAGAAGGCGCACCGTCGGTATTCAGAGAGTGTCTTTCTCCTTCATCAGCCACCATCCTCCCTTCGCAAGCATAGTGAGATTAGCTTGCTAGTCGATCGGAGATCAGGTCCACCCAGCAACTTAGGTTGAGACATCTTGTCCCAAGCAACAAGATGCATTTTTATCTGTTTTCCTCTTCTCCCCAGATGAAGTCTCTGTTGATCTTATCAATACTTTTGCACACTGAACTAGGGATTAGCTCGGAATGCATATTATAAGTAGGAATAGAAGAGAAAACAGCTTGGGCTACCGTAAGCCGCGCAGCAAAGGAGAGCTTTCTGGCTTTCTAGGGCGCTAGCTTTCTCTAAATTCGACGGAGAAGTCCATCGTATTGGGCTCTGGAGACAAGCCCATGGATGGCCTCGATTCCTAGGTATCTTGAAAGGTCCGCCTTAAGAGGGACTCCTGCAGCTTGGCTCAAGATTGTGGTCGTTCGACATCTAATATTGAGGGAGACATATAGCAGTGACTTGGAGAAATACACCCGTTTTTCTGG